AGCTGTCTCCCCAGCCCCCCTCCCCTGTGCAACCCAGGGCCCCCAGCCTCTGGGAAAGAGCTGGCCGCCCTTGCAAGTTCCCCTCCTTCCAGCTTCCTTTAAGAGCTCTGGGATTCCTGAGGTGGAGGCGGATGATGTCATGGGTGGGAAGCTCCAGGTCACAGGGGACAATGGCCAGGCATGGTGACTCCAGGCTGAGGTGGGGTGACCTGAAAACTACCGTCACCCATCTGAAGGAGCATCTGTCAGGGTTGGCATTCAGGCAAGGCCAGCGGAAGCCTGCCGACAGCCAGGTCCAGACCTTCTTCTGATGGCTTCGAGAACGTTTCTAGTGAGCTCCATGGCCTTTGGGCCAACCTGGAAGTGGGAGTATCAGAAGAGCCTGCAGCCATGCACGAGACCGCCTGTGGATTGAGCCTGTGGTGTTCACGAGGCCAGTGCTGTGTGAGCACCTGCCTTGGGGATTGCTACTTGGCGGAGGCCTTGGGCTTGGGTGTGTGGCTAGGCTCGGTGGGCTTGGTACTTATCTCACTGTTACCCTCTCCCGTCCCCCAGTGCCACCGCATCCACCGGTCACTTGCCAGCCAGTTCAAGTACGCGCTGGTGTGGGTGAGTCTCTGGGAAGGAGGAGGGCCGGGGTCATGCCCAGCATAGCCTCCGGGTAAGGCAGAAGCAAGGCGTTCACGCCACTCCGTGTGGTGTCCCAGTTTACAGCGTGTGCGTGCTGACCTGTACTGGACTTGGGCCTCTCCCATCTTGGGATCCGGGGATGGTCAGTCCACTGGGGACATCTTCCTGTCTGGAGGGGGGGGGGTGTTGCCAGTGATGGGGCCCCCACTTCAGCCTCTGGCATTCATCTATCCCGTAACGTGTACACCCACCCACCTTCCTCCCGTAATAGCTATCAGCCTTGGCCTTGCTGAGTGCAGAGGCTGACAGGGCCCCTCTGCCTTGTTCCCCACCTAGGGCACCAGCACCAAGTACAGCCCGCAGCGGGTGGGCCTGACCCACACCATGGAGCACGAAGATGTCATCCAGATTGTCAAGAAGTAGTGCCTCTTGCTGGGCGCCCTGCCTGCCCGCCCTGCCTCCCTGGGGAGTCGGCCCCAGCAGGGCGCACCAAAGCCCAAACAGGAAAAATACAGATACATACACCCCAGGAAGGGGTCTCTCAAGTCTCTGCTGTCTCCAGAGGTTTCTTCTGTAGGCAGATGATGAAGAGTGTTGGGGCAAAGGGACATGGTTGGGGGACCTGGGCTGGTCTGGTGGCATTTCCCATGAGACTGGCCCCTTGTGTTTGGAACCCTCCCCCTGGCCCCCTTCAGGCACGGGAGGAGCAAGTTGCCCGCTGCCCCACAGCCGGGGCCTGACCTCGATGGCTTGCTTGGTGCTGGGGCTAGGAGCCGACCCTGCCCGGGTCCCTGGAAGCCGTAGTTACTGTTGTTGCACCTTGGCCCTTTAGAGCCTGCTGGCACCTGGGGAGGGCGCCTCCCAGGACAGACCCTCGGCCCCACCCCAGGCTGCTTCATGGTGGCTGTAAGCCCCAGCTCATGCCTTCCTCAGCCTGAGGAGTCCTAAGTATTGCCCTCCGAGGGCAGCCCCTGCCCAGCACGGACCCCAGGACCCAGAGCCTGCAGGGACACCTGGAGCAGAGGCTTTGGCTTTTGGTTTCTGTATTTTTTTCTCTAAGCCCCTGGTCTCCGCGCTCCTTTCCGGAATAAAGAGTGAAAACAATTCCTGTTCAGACTGAGGACAGTTCTGTTGGTCTGGTGAAGTCTGTGGCCAGGCTGGGTCAGGGCCAGCAACGAGCGTGATGACCAGAGGGGGGTGGTGCCTGGTTTGGGGAAGAGCAGGCCCAAGTCCGGGGTGCATAGGAAAATGTGGGGTCTTCCAGGGCGGTCTCTGCCCTAGAAGGTTGGCCGGGGGCTGTGGGCTGTCCGTGTGGCACCTCCTGAGGCCGGGCCTGGCTGCCAAGGTAAGCTGCATCCCCAGAAGGTCCTTGAGCACTCACAGGGGAGAGCAAGGTGGCTGGGTAGAAGACCCGTTGCCTCGGAAGGCAGAGGTCGACAGGCCTTGGCCTGGAGAGTCCTCGCTACGTGCCACAGTCGGTGTGGAGCTGTCTCCACAGCAGCCTGTTCTCTAGGGGCAGCACCTTGCCCTGGGCTTATACAGCTTCTAAGTGCAGAGCTGGGATTTGGACCCCAGCTGGGTCTTCTGGGCCATAGGGGAGGCTTCCTGGAGGAGGTGTGCCTCTTGGGAGTGAATGGTAACAGGTTTTGTGGGGCTACCAGGCACCGGGCTGGCAGGAGGCATAGAGGGCTCCCCTGGGGTCTTCAGATCCAGCTGGAGTGTGGAGCAGGCCCACTGCCCAGCTTTCCAGGCTGTTCTTGGCTCCTCTGTCAGCTGCTCAGGCTCCTTTCCGGAGACAAAACAGGAATAATAGACATCATTAAATATACATGGGGCCCCAGGCGGTCGGCGTGGTGGGCTGGGCCTCCCTTCCCCGCAACACTGAGCTGCTCTGCTAGGCTGGCCATGCTCCTGGGGCCAGCCACAGGACCCCCGTTAGGCGGCATGCAGGCAGGGAGCAGGCCACAGGACTCAGGTAAGAAGACCCCGGCCCAGGGCCCTTGGGGTCTGCCCCAAGTACCTCCCCACAGGTTGCAGCGAGGGGAAGAAGGGAGGGGGGCAGTGGAAGAGCTGGGCCTTGCCCCTAACTCACTGTGAGGTGCTTCCCTGGGCCTCAGTTTCTTCATCCATAAAGCGGGCATGATGCCCACACAGCTCCCCTCTTAGTGATGGTGGTATGCCAAGACAGGTGAGTACTCAGTGGCTGACTTCAGCCCTTCTCCCGACTGCCACAGGGCCTGGCCGTGAGGTCCCAAGTAAGCATTTCTGCCTGGGTGATGGCCACTGCCACTTCTTGCCTTACAGTTAGGGAAGGGGCCTGTGTTCGCAGAGCATCAGATCCAGGCCCATTCTGTCTGCCAAGCTGGCTGCGAAAGGGTGGGAGAGGAGGCCAGAGGTCTGGGCGTCCCCAGGCTACGGGCTCAGGGCAGGCATTGGCAGAGTCTCCAGCCACTGGGCCGCCGTGTTCCTCACCATGGACGGACTATTTCCTGGGCCAGGTCTGTGTGTTCCTAGATCAGGGCAACTGGTACTCTGTGTTGAATTTTTGGCTTTCCGGGGTCAGTGGCTGGCATGGGCCTGCGTGAGAGCCAAAGGAACCGCATGCTGTGCACCCCCAGGTTGGTGTGAACTGGCAGCTTGCAGTGCCCGATGCTAGAGGAGGTACCCCTAGGGCTGGAGGAGGTCCCCACCCCACCAGGGTGAGCTCCAAGGTTTGGGCCCCCCTGTTGCCACCTCTCACCCTCCCTGGGCCTTCTGTGCTAGGGAGGCTCTGGCCGGGCTGATAGAAGTCCCTTCCTGCTCAGACAACCTGATTGTCTTTGTGAAGGTCAACAATACCCAAGCCCTCTCTCAGGCCCCTCCGCAGACTACAGGGCTGCTTTCCCAGAGGGCCCAGCCTGCAGCTTTACAAGACTCAGGTGCAAAGGAGGCCAGGGCGAGAATGTTCACCCCTGTCTGTGTGTCTGCCTCCCTGTCCCTCAGCTTCGCTGAGATTCCACGCTGCCTCTGTCCCCAACCCCCTTTGGCAAGAATCCTTCTCAGCCGCCCTCCAGGTGCCCTCTGGCTTGGCCCCGGAAACAGTGCTGGGAAGCTCGAACCACCTGTGGGGGAGGGTCTCCGACTGCTTCGGGCACCCCCTCAGCAGCTCTTCTAACCGCCCCCTGCTCCCCTCGGATCCCAGCTAGGAAACTCCTCACCCCCAAACGCTTGTGTTCATCTACACCCACTTCTCCATGATGGTGAGGCCAAGTCCGGGCCACCTTCTCAGGGCTTTCACACTGCGTGGATAATTCAACCTCCCTCTGTTCTCTCAATCTCTCTCTCCCTCTGTCTTCCTGAATCTGTCCCATTGACCTGCCAACGAGTCTATTCGTTTGCTCCTGCGGCCGTAACCAAAGTGTCACAGACCGGAGGTCCTAAGCAACAGAAATTTATTTTCTCACAATTTCTGGAGGCAGGAAGCTTGAGATCAAAATGTCAGCGGGGATGGTTTCTCCTGAGGCCTCTCTCCCCGGCTCACAGGCCCACAGCTCCTCCACGGAAACAATTACGAGCCCCTGGACGTGTCATTCCCCGTGGCCACCTCTTTTTCCTGGCATAGCTGCTCGGAGCACCTCTCCCCCGCGTCAGTCTCCTCACCCACCAGCCCTCCCCAACATGCTGCCCGAGCAGCCCTGCCCCGGCCCGATGCCGCACATTGCTGAGCAGTGACTGTCCTTTTTTTTTTTAAGTCTATTTATTTATTTTGAGAGAGAGAGAGAGAGAGAGAGAGAGAGAGAGAGAACCATTGGGGAAGGGGGGCAGAGATGATGGACAGAGGATCCGAAGCAGGCTCCTCACTGACAGCAAAGAGCCAGATGTGGGGCTCAAACTCACGAACCATGAGATCATGACCTGAGTCAAGGTCGGACACTTAATTGACTGAGCCACCCAGGCGCCCAACGGCGACCATTCTAACCACGTTTACCAGGCCCAGCAAGGTTGGCACAGTCAGTGCCTCACCTCTACCCCACACAGTCGTTAAGGGCTGGCATGGGAAGCCCCCGACTTCTTGCTCTGTCCTCCTTCACAGGCTCATCCCACCCCCTGCCTCTGTTTCATCTGCCCTGCGGGTCTAAATTTCCCCGACTTCCCTCTGTCTCCCCAACCCTCCGTGTCCTAGACCAACCCCGTCATATTCCCGCCTCTCTCCGCTCATCTTAGCGAATGATTCCCCCGTTCACGCAGCTGCACCAAGCCAACCCAAGGGTCCCCCAGGCTCCACCTTCACCCCAGCCCCCGCGCGGCCCCTCACTGGCTGTGTTGAGTGCGCTCCATCACAGCTGTCCCAGATCGAGCCGCTGTCCTCTCTCTCCCGGCCTCCACTGTGCGTCCCCTCCTCATCCTTCGCCACACGGTGGCCCAAGAGCTTTTCCCGCACCACTTCCCAAGAAGCAGTGAGAGGCAGTGGTTGAGGGCACGGACACTCTGGAGCCGGACTCCCCGAGCTCGAATCTGGTTTCAGGCTGTGTGGCCTCGGGCAACTTACTAGACCTCTCTGGGCCTGTTTCCCCACCTGTAACGTGGAAAGAATAACAGTATCTACTTCCCGAGGTTATAGTGAGGGTTGAATGAACGCTGTGTGGCCCAGTAGTTCTCACTTCCTCGCTGGGGATTCTCTGCTGAGTGATGTAACCTAATAGAGCACCCTTCATCTATAAGACAGGAATAGCAGTTCCCACCTTACACATCGTGTGAATTCAGTGATAATAGCAAAGCATTCAGGACCAAGCCTGGCACAGAGTAAAACTTGTCAGTGTTGGTTATTTTTACTCTCAAAATGCATATCTGGTCATAGCATCCTGGCAGCCTGAAATCGTGCCAAGGCTCCCTACTACCTTAGGGATGGAGACCAAGGTCCCACTCCAGCCTCCATGTCTCAAGGGGCAGGTCCCTCCTGCCATCCTGGCTGCTTCTCGCTTTACATGCTCTGCATCACTTTGCCCCTCTCACCACTTGGCCTTTGCATGTGCTGTTCCATCTGCCTGGAACACTGCTCCCTCTTTCATGTGATTAGCTCTTTCTCATCCTTCAGATCTTGGCTCAGGGTCACCTACTCAGGGGCACCTTCCTGGTCTTCCAATGCACTGGGCTGTGGCCTGGCCTTCAGAGCTCTTCTCATGGCTGCAGTTTCCCCTCGGTAGGGCTTTTTGCTTCGAGTCTGTGTCCCCGTGACACTGGGAGCTCCGCCAGCACAGAGACCATGCCTGGTGCCACTCAACCCTGTGACCCCCCCCTCCCCCCCCGGCACCCAACACAGTGGCTGGCACACAGTAGACACACAATCGATGTCAAGGAATGAACGGACGAACGAGAAACGTGATCCCCGATAGCCCTTCTGTGCCTGCTGCAGAGGCTGGGGACACCGAGAAGGAGGTGGGACCCAGGCCCACCAGACAAAGGGTAGCCCTGGTCGACTGGGGACACTATCCCAATAGCCTGGGGCAAGCCTGGGCCCCAGAGACCAGAAAGGGTCATGGGAGCAGGCCCTGCTGCTGGCCCTTACCCAGACCACCTTCCCAGAGCGGACGGGAGCAGCCAGCTGTAATAACGATTCCAGCAATAATAAAATAATAATAATAAAATAATAACGACGATGACAAAATACGAATACTAATAATATTACTAATAATAACGGCAATTTAC